TATCACACACATGAGATGAGTTTGTGGTGTGTGTGTATGTGTGTATGTATGTATGTATGTGTGTGTGTGTGTGTGTGTGTGTGTGTGTGTGTGTGTGTGTGTGTTATATGGTGTACAAATAAACGTAAGACGTTAAATCCTCTCAGTCGGTTATCTTGAAAGAGCTATAATTAATTTTTTTTCTATTTAATCCAATCTAAACATTGATTTTATAATGACTACTTTATCAATGTACCACAGACAACGCTGGCATGTCTATGTCTTCTATATCCTCCATCTTCACAGCCGTGATTCCCCCATCCTGCGTACGAGCAGTCAAACAGGCTACTCTCGTTCCCATCACACCGTAGGTCAGCCATGTAGACCAGCATTTGTTCACCTAAAAAACAATATGTAGAAGATTTAAAAAAATGTAGTCATTATAGAAACAGACAAAAAGGGCTTAATGAGTCGAATGCGAATACGCAAAGAAAGTATTTACGTCAGACAGCAGAAGACGAACCGTACGCTTTACCAAATAGGGTAACTGATGAAAAGCCGTTTGCCCAGATATAACCCAGCATTCTGCAAACAACGTCTGCCTCCCTTAGGTCGAAGTGGTCAGGACATACTCCGCCCCAAGTCCGACTGTCGGCCGGTCGAACTTCTACACGTCCTTTGGTTGGTCCGTGAGGCCCAAGCTCAACAAGACGGATTCTGCTGGAATCTAAAGGTATTCAATTTTAATCACAATCACTTTAATGCAAATATTACCTCTTGGCTAATTGCAAATGACGAGAATATTACAGTTCTGAAATTTGACATTTCTTCGAAATACCACCCTAACTATCTATGTAGTAATGTTTCCAAGTCATCATAGCTCTGAAGTTAAATATTTTAGGAACTAGTCCTTTATTCGTCCTAGTCTGGAATATGCAGATGTAGTTTGGCATGGCGATAAAACCGGTTAATCCACTCTAACCGTAGGCTCTACCTAGTACGTGTCCTGAAGAAACACGGACTTAACGATAACGACCTAGTGCTAGTTTTCTGTGGTTTTGTCCGGCCGTTGTTGGAATATGCCTGTCCGGTGTGGCATCCTGGCCTCACTAGTCTCCAGTCGAAGCATATTGAAGCCGTACAGAAGAGGGCTTGCAGAGTGATTCTAGACAGAACATATGTTAGCTATGACAGAGCACTAAAACAGCTATCTCTCACTCCCCTTTCCTCGAGAAGACGCAATCTGTGTATGAAGTTTGCAGTTTCTATTTCTAAATCCCCTGTCTTCTCTTGCTGGCTGCCTCCGAAACGGGCAAACTTACACGGCAGAAAACTGAGAACAAAGGATAACTTAATCCAGTTTAACTGTAGAACTTCCAGATTTTACGAATACTACCTTGCCTTTACTGTAAATTATCGATGGATTAATCATTAGTACCTCGCCTCTTAGCCTCGGTATAGTACATGTATAATAGAATGGATTTTAATCAATAGGTCTCTTTTACTGTAAAGCTATTTAATAAATTTTAACCAGTACTCATCTTGTCTTTTAGCCTATATTTGTAGAATTGATTTTGATGAATTAGTAATGGTACCTTGTCTGTAAGGCTATAGACATGTGATGGATTTTTTTAAGAATTACACAAGATTTGTATCATGCCCCAATTCAGCCAGATAAGGCTGCAACGGCATGACTGAGCACGTGTTGCAAATGAACCAGTTATCAGTAAGGTCGGCTGTAGTTGGCTATTTGGCTGGTTCGTAACTCGATAAAAAGACATTTACGCAACCAAGTGTGTTTTTACAGCCGACGTTTCGGTGACCTGACACCTTCCTCAGGGCAATGCTGACCGGTAGGCCACTGAGTTTTTGTTGAAATCGGGAGAGAGTAGGTCACCAGTTTAAACATTTATTACTATTATAATATTAGGGACATGCCTTACTGTTCACTGTTATATTCAAACTAAGGTACATCGTAAAACTACATTCTTAACTTGAATTTACATGTAACTAGAGTTCCACGATCTCATACCTTCGCCAAATGATGTAATTTTATGACTGACAAAGTGAATATTATTCCTCCTGATTATGCAAATAGGATCCTTATTTGCTAGATTTATATCAGTTAATCATCTTCTCCACCAAAAGACAGCCTTCCTTCAACAATGAAAGCCATTCTATCGTTTCCTTATAAACTATGCAAATGAGGTCCTTATTTGAATAAGTAATGTTTTAATGATGTTCACCTTCACTTAACTTTCAAATACCCCAAGTATGAAATTTCAGGCATTTACCATTATGGAATTATAACATGATCTCATTAATTATGCAAATTAAGTGTTAATTTACATAATCAACATCTGCCTGTGTTTCTCTTGTTCTCAATCACATGTTACACGCTTGAATAGTCCGATAATGTAATGCAGCATAAAATTTCTTATTAATTATGTAAATTACATCCAGATGTGCATAATCATCGCATATGTCAAGCGTCACTTAAGCTACCTAAATCACCGGTTTCTGAGTTATCCTCTTATGTATATCTTTAAAGAAACGCCCCTGCAGTTCCATAGCAAGCCGCTAGGGGGCCCAAACCTACCACACTTCTTATTTAAAAATAACGAATTCAGCGCATAGATTGCATATCGCATCTGTATTGCGTTCACATGCATTGCGAAGGCCAAGCGTATTCCGGACGCACTCGGCGTATGCCCACCGCATGCCTAACGCACTCCTGACGAATGCCAAGCGTGTTGCGGCGTATTCCCTGCTGCTTCCTGCTGTTTCATTCGCAGCGAGTCCTTCTCATCATTGACCGCCCTCAACTCAGATAAAATGCGTTTGTTTCCAATTTGCCCTAGCCTTGGTCAGTTTCCTGTAATATCTTGTCGGTTAAAATACATGTACACGGACTTTATACAAACATACCAGTTCGACTGTTAATAGCCTTGATGAATATTGGAGATGTCAAGAAATACCTTAAGCTCCCTTAATAACTTGAAAACAATGAAAACACACATACTTGGAAAAGAGACAAGTTACAATTGCGCATATACGAACAGATAGCATGGGCTACACATCACTGCGAACACTACAATCTTTATATATCTACCGACGCTACATTACAAGCACAGTTCAAAGCGGCTACTGTTATATATCCATCACCTTTAGATGTTTCATGACATTGAGTTTATATTCGCCCGTGGCTTTTATGTACGTATATTTTTATGAACTATTTTTTTTACCAATCTACGTACACTACACATTTCTCAGACAAAAAACAAAAACAGGCAACTGCCGTATTATACCAAAGTACAGACAACAAAAAGCAAATATTTTATGTTAATTTTAAATATAGATATATTGATAATATGCAAAATGGCAAGTCCTATCATCATTTTGGGGGGAGGCGGTACAAGGGTGTTCTTTTGTGTTTAAAAGTGTCAACATTTTTGTAAAACATACTGCACTCTAGGAAAGACGTTTTCCCAATATTGGCAATAATAATTTAATTTTCAGCAAAACAAATTAGAAAGAGCCAATCTTAACATATTAATGAACTCAATCATTTTTTGTTACATCTTACTTAAAATGTTCCAGGAGGTCTATTAACCATTGGGACTAGAGGAGCCGGTACCCCGGGGGTAGCCCAAGTGTTCGACCAGTTCGCTATCTAGATCTGTACGAAACCTTTGCGCTTCTCTTTAGTTACAAATATGTACAATGCGCTGTCCTGTTGCAATACGAACGCTCGTCCTTTGTATTAAAAACGCATGACCTGCGTAACAGCGTACGCAGCGTCGTTTTGGGCATGCTCAAAATTACGCTGCGTACTGAGCCGGTCCGTGCGTGTGCCGTGCGTATGCTGACGTTAACAAAACTCGACGACGGAGATAAATAAACAGTGCGCAGTTTGCGTACGGATGCGTATGAGAAAAACTGTCCGTATGCAACTTATACGCACATATCATAGAGATACCATAAGAAGACAGTAAAAAATTAACAAGCTAAGGTTGTGGTGCTTGATGACTATAAACTTGCGCTTTTCGGGGCCATCTGCATTTAAAATATATAACTGGTTACAAACCGACAGAAAAAAGAATCTCTGCCCTTTCTAAGACGTTATATTTCCTGTTGGTTTAAAATCTGCCGCCAGTTAAAAATACCATGTTTTGAGTCAAATTATTGAAAGGATAACGATACCACATTGACTCAATTTTTTTAAATAAAAAAAGGTAGATATTTTAGATACGTTGAGGTTAGGCAGACCCGTGGTTAACCTTGCAGCGACGAGATATCCTGTAACGGATGTTGACGCACAGAGGTGTGGCACGGACTACTTTCTCTCGGAAGGAAAGGGAAACTACCAGGAACTCTTGACGTGGCTTGGCAGATTTGTGCAAAATGCGAACTTTAATTTTTCTAAAGTGAGAAGTTGGCACTCTGCCGACGGTTCAACTTATTCGATTAGCGGGTTCGCGAATGCGATCAACTAACGAAAGAACGAGGGCTTGTTCCCGCCGGCCTTTGCGATCAGAACTAACAACTTATGATGCGTGTCTCGCGGACTACATTCCTTTCAAACTAAAACAGTGTGCTTATGTAAATCGAGTACAACGATTTCAACAGAAACTTGGTGGCCCATCGCCCATGTTTAGACTGTTTTACACTGCACAGTACACAGGTGCCACTGCTTATAGATGAGTTTCCAAAGGCAAAGTATTCACATCTTTAAACAGTAACATGATGTCTAAAATGTAGTCCCATTGTACGTTGTACAATCACATGGGACGTTTTCGACCGTATGTTACTCTTAGACTATCATGTGAATATTTAGCGATTATGCGATGATTATAGATAGTTTATGAGTTACAGAGGACAGGGGCCCCAAAACACCCCACCCCCTCCGGTCATTGGGTTACCCTCCTCCAGACGATTTCAATTGAGTTAACTATATTCAGACCAGGTAACTTGGGTCATCCTGTGGATGGTGTACAACTAAAACTCCAAGGGATAATGTCATGAAAAAATGTCACTTTGAACATGACGATCGATGTTACCGATGTACATGTATATGCGGTAAACCAGAATTTTTAACCTTAACCTCAATACTCGTAAGAAAATTCAAACTCTACTACTGGATCAGTTAACGGATTTATTTCCGGACGTTTCGAGTGACATCCATCACTCTTCTTCAGCGTCACTCTTCTTCAGCGTCTTCTTCATAGGAACCTTCCTTACATGACAAAGACTCTTACGGTTGTTGAACAGGTTTTTTCTAGTTCTAATTCCTGTACATTGAGTGAACCGTTCTTTTACATGATAAAGCTTCTTACGGACCTTGTTGTTTAACCGGTTTTTCTAGTTACTTGTATATAAGAGTGAATCGGTTCTCTGTTCATTTGTGACGCTGAAGAAGAGTGATGGATGTCACTCGAAACGTCCGGAAATAAATCCGTTAACTGATCCAGTAGTAGAGTTTGAATTTTCTTACGAGTATCGTTTACCTGGATGTCTAACCTTCATCAACGTACTTAACCTCAATACTTTTATTCTTTATCTATTACCTCCACAACCTGGTGTAGCACCACTCCAAGTCCCGTTCGGCTGGCAGGTTATATTGGCAGTCCCCAACAGCTGATACCCGTCCATACAGGTGTACCTGACTGTCTGTCCTGATGTAAAGTTACTGTTGTTATCCCTGTTCCCATTGGTCGGCACACCAGGATCCCAGCATTTGCCTGCAGTACTGCCTGAAACAAAACAATGTAAAGGTATGGATTTCCTTCCTTTGCCATTAATCATATAATTATGTGTACATTTGCATTATATTTTATGTATAAATGTTCAACTTCCCATACATTACATAGATATTTTTTACAAACTATATGACAAGATACAACTTATAGATGACCTATAGTGTATACTAATGTAATTTTCAAATTTCCTTAATAACCATGCCAATTAACGGTTATTTACATAATTTGCAATTCTTCCCATCTTCTGGACCTCAAAAACTAATCATATACCGAAAATGATAGAAAACTGCAACAAACACAGCTCATATTAAACAGCATACAAAATGATATCAGTGACCTTGTTAATTTGAGAAGTGAAGTCAAAGATCTTACTTGTGTAGTTGAACTGGAACCCCTGACGGCTGCCCCAACGGTTAGATGTAAACCTCAGGAACATCGTGTTGGATGTGCTGATGATGGGGGTAATTTGCGAGTGGTAACCGCTTAACCTAGACATTATGGAATAATAAGGAAAATCAATATTTGACGCACAAACTATTGTCATATTCCCAGCTTTGGGGTAGTTTTCGTTATGCAGAATAAATCCAAGCGTTTAGAGTAGCTTGAATACCCCATGTTGATTGGTTATCATTATTACTTCGTGTAAATTTGATTTAAGGAGCATAAAATATATAACTTAGAACTTGTAGTGCCAGTGAGATGTTTGTTTTTAACATGACTGATACCTTTGCAGTCAGTTAGTTAACATCAACATTTCACATTAGCAGTTAACATTAGCAAATTAAGAATCAATTCGCCCAAGCTAACAATAGAAAATATGATTACGTGTTAAGCTAGTAAACCTTTCCTAAAGACCAACACGAACATTTTCAATGTACTGAAGTCATACCCCGACTCCATGCTTACGTATTTAGGCCTAAATATATATATAGTGCCTTAAAGAGGAGAGAAAGTCCTGTAACAAACGTAACGTACACCATGTCAATCCGTCATTTACGTTTTTTTTACTGTGTAGTAGTTTTTTTAGAATAGACCTATCATATTGCTCACATTGTCATTGTTGCCAACATTGTAATCTGTACAACTGTCGAGCAATAAAGTTCATTCATTCATTCTAACAATAGTGTTCAGTCTGTAATTAAGTCAGTTTCCTTCTATTGCAACTCGTACTTCACAAACCTCCTAAAACGTCTATTTATATAGGATATAATTTTCATGTGTTTTGTATGTATTAATGTTTTGTTACTCTACTGTATAATTATGGGCCAGTAATAATAATAACCTTTTTATCTCTGTAGCATTATCACTGGCTCCATCGTAGATGGTGAGAAAGTCATAACCGCCCTCAGTGTGGAAGCTGTCAAACGTGAGGCGAATGATGCTTCCTTCTGGTACAGTGATCAGCCACTCACAGTTCTCATTGTTGCCATAGTTACCGGGATAGTTGGGTGACGTCACGGGGCCACCAGAAGAAGCCGTCAGGTCACCCCCACATCCGGTGCCGCTGGTTACTGTGGAATGAGAAATAACATCATCAGGTGCAGGTAACGTCACGTCACTATGTAAGCGTGAAGGTAGGCTATGTTTTATACAGGTTTACTGAGTCTATACATACTCATTTCAGCATATACATGGTGTTGATTTAAATATCGTTTTCACTCATTTACTATTCCCTTTCTTCTCATAGATCCTGTTATTTTCTTTTTTTATTACATAACTTATATTAAATGCTTTTATTCACAACAATGCAAAGATACATACAGTGCAGAACACAGAACAGGTAATTGTACAAATGTGGTGATCGATAATTAAGAGGAAATTTTAGATACATGTCAATAAAAGTGTTGAGTCATCCCAATAGTGGGTTTAGCTAAAATACTCTTATCCATATCCTACCTTCTACTGCTTTTCTCTATTTGTAAGCCTTAATGTAGAGCACCTGAATATAATGAAATTGTATGAAACTCGGTCAAAATACTAAAGTCGATAGTTATTATGTTTACCGAAGGAAACATATTATATTTGCTCTATTTCCTCCTCCTCCTCTTCCTCCTCTTCTCCAAACACCTAAAAATCGTAGATATTTTCGTAATTAGAACCTGGAAGAAAATGAAATTCAGCATGCTGGTAGGTTGGTACGTAAGACACTGAACCGCTGTCATTTTGGCCAACATAGATGTGAAAAAAATGACTTAATTTGCAAAAAATGGGTGAAAAAAGTTGCATTTTAAGCCAAAAATCGAACAAAAAGAACGCGTTTGGAACATTCAAACAACCATGGAACAATGGAACAGCGTGTTCGATAACCGCGGTCAATGACCCTAGCGCTACGCACGGAACACCCGAGCTTTCCAAATATGGGCATCCGCCCTTGTATGAGAAGAGAAGAGATCGGTGGACCAATGTCAGCGGTAAGTTTTCATTTTTCTTCGTACAATACGGTCATATGAATACCAGTCTCGAGTAGAGAATATTGCATTGGGATTTTGGGTTCAATATCCACAAGTAGGACTGCAGATTTCCACAGAACGCCGGCGACTTTGTGTGATTTTTTGCATGTCACCGCCGGCTGAAATAAAAAAAAAAACACTCATAATTTACACTAGCTCCTGACTTGATAGAATCTCGTATGTATAGAGATTTAGGCTTGCTGCCGTTTTGAAAATAAAGTAAACAGAATTGTGTTCATCTGTAACTATTGTCGACTTTGTAATGTGGGTGCGGGGCCGGGGGAGGGGGGCGTTTGTTTACGTTTATATAAACATGGATGTGACATTACATTTTGTCGTTTTGTCAGACAGTTTCAATCTTTTTCGGGATAATACAGTACAGTTCATGGGATAAGCATCAAATCGGGATTCATCGGGATATCCCGGGATTTTTCGGGAACCATGTTGACTAAGATTTTTACAGACAGACGGTGCGGCGCATGTTTGTTTCCAAATTATGCATGATGATAACATTAGCACAAACGGCTAGTGTTATTAATCAAATACAACCTTCTTGGTACGAGAATTTCTGTCTGACCTTGCGATGTGGACGGCCCTAAGTACTGCTTTTGATGTCACCCGACCCGCGCTATCTCAGATATAAAATCTAACACATCCACGTGCCATGTCGCCAGAAGTTCATTTTTCTCCTAGATAGGGGAGGTCGACGCACGGAGCTGCGGAAGGGAGATTAAACATTATACAAAAGAGGGGGGGGGAGCATAATTAAAAAGTTCTTTACGCCTCTTGGCTGTGTTTGCGATCAGCGACGAACAAGAATTGATACATTTCTGTGACTGGGCCACGTTGCCATAGAAACGGCACGCAGCATAGCTATCACCGCGCGGCGCCCAATCACAGCACACAGACGGGGACCCGCCCACTGGCTGGGCGGCAAGATTTCAAACTCAAAGGCTCGATGCTCCGCCCCAGAGACTCCGGCCGCCCTGGCGATTGTAGCGATTTTCCGCCTCAGTCCTGCAAGCGGCATTGTATTTTTCTCATCCCGATTTCATTCCAAAACAACGTTTTCACAAGTGACATCGAGAACGAGAATGCTTTTTCCACCGGAAGATTTTTTGCCAGCCGCGTGGAAGTACTTGCTTTCAGGGTAATACGTACGTCAATGGACGTGGTCGGATCGTTGATTGTTGATGCAAGGGTTTATTTATTTTATATGTACGTGTTTGCATGGGAGGGGTGAGACGCTTGCCGCGGGATTTTGATGTGCAAACGTTCCTAATTTTCGTAATACAGAGACTACTTGACGCAGTCTGCTTATGAGAAGATGAGTAGACCTCAACAAGCCAATTTAGTACAAGATGTCACAATGAAATACAACTACTACTACAGCCGGTACGCCCCATTTTATTTGAAGGTTTATAAACTTGCCGAAACTCACCGGAGACGAAGGGGTTATTAAAAATTCATTCCTGCTATTTTCTTACAGTTTTCGTGAGTTTTTCGCTGCACAATAGCTTTGTAAAAATGTAGCAGTTCACCTATTACCGCGTGAGGAACGCGTCATACACAATATACACTCCTGTGCTGTCGGTGAATAAAAATTTTGGCAAAGTTGACTGACGTCAGGGTGCTCCATTGGCCCTGCCCAGATCGCCCGACAGGACGTAAAAATAAACATTTGGCACGCCGCCATCGGTGACAGGACCCGCGGTAGACTTGGAGATCTCGCACCACACGCGGATATCTCGCGGGATTTTTCGGGACGCCTATCCCGAAAAATTCCGTATCCCGATGATGCATATCCCGTGAAGTTATCTCTCTAAACATAATAAGGATAATATCAGTTTCTGATCACATTTGAAATGCTTACTCTCCTGTTTGTATCCTCATAAGACTCTTAAGATTGGACCTCTGCTAGGAAAGGAAGCAGAACTTGGTCCATGAGAAACTGGGGAGGAACCTAACAGAGCTGAACCCAGCCATCCACAGAAGGATACAACACATCACAACCATTTCTAGAAACACATTATATCTCCATTTTGGCCAGTAAATATTCATTATGTATGTTAAATTTGCATAATATATGTAACAGTTAAGTCATGTATAGCTTTTAAGTATGTATGTATGGTTTTATAGAGTGTGTAGTTCCAATATTTTACACAACTGTAGATTTTCATCATCATTGCAATGATTTTCATATAAAATTTCAAAGAACAATTATTATAGAAGTGGGTATATTCACTGGCTCGGCGATCAAAAGAACAAGTAAAACCCAACAAAACTGGCTTGATGTATATCTTATATACTGTAGTATAAAGACTAAAGTGTACTGTAGGAATTAGTTCTTCATATCATTGTACATGTATATCATTTCGTATGATATACGTTTTTACAATTAGCCTTCTGTCATGTATTTGTAATAATAATAAACTTATCATCATTATTATTTCAGCCTACGTCCTGTTTCCTATTTACAAAAATGTAATAAGGTAGTGAGATGAGCGCAGCAGCAAAGTCCTTTGTAACTAAAGCTGTCAAAAAGACTCGAAGTTTACTTGCAGTCTGCAGAGGATGTCATTGATTAAAGTTACATGCTGTGGCCTAATTGCAAGCATGGTAAGAGTGTGTGCTGAGTGAATCATTGGTACTGTGGTATGTAACTATATATATAACATAAAAGTCAGTAATATAAGCAAACTATCCTTCTACCTTTCCTTTCCTAATAAAGGTATAACGTTAAATCGTAGGCAAGACCATCCTGAGGTAAACATATTGCATTTGCTTGCAAATGTTACCTTAGTTTCTAGTTTACAAAATCCCATTAACATAAGTATAAATGTATTTAAGTTTGCTCATCAGGACATGGTTAAGAAGTTAACTTCTGTACAAAACTATAATCTATGTAGTTCTGAATATAAGAAATATTTCTTAAAAGGGAAGTGTCAACATGTCTGACACAAATTGATAAAATGTCAAAATTAAGTTCAATTGCCACCGTACAACAATCTGCTGACACAATTCTCTTTACCCTACTCTGCTACAAGAGCACACTAATGCTACAACATATTTACAGCCCAAGTACATATTGTGTCTAGAATTGGCAATATGATCAACTGCCTGTCTTGCTATCTTTTGTAATGCCAGTGACATTTTTTCCAATGCTGGGTGCGCAAAATGGTGATCAACAGAGCTGCAGAAAAAACATCACATAAACAATACAAAGTCTTACTCTAAAAAACCACATATAAAGATTTTAACTTGTATTATTTACTCTTTCATTGAATTCTGTTACAAAGATACTAAAAAGATCAGCAATATACAGATGTTATTTCTTAGCCATAACCAGGTTTTAAATATTGTCCATTTGGTAATAGAAATTGTTTTGATTCTATTTTGTAGGTTATTAGAGGTTAACAGCTGATCTATTTTTCCAAATATAATTTCCTGACATGTAATTTTTGTGTTAGGGTGAGGTACATAGGTATTGACTAATTCCCAGAAATTACCAAGTCTTCCACATCTGAAGAACATGACATTGTGTTGATAGTTGTCGGTGCTTCCACTGTTACATAAACTACATATTGGGCTATAGGTTTGTTCATTTTCATCTTTTAACCTCCATTTGTGTAAGTTGTATGCACAAGGTAGTATCCTGTGGAGTAATTTGAAATTGAGTTCAGCTAATTTGGTATCTTTACAGTTTTGTGTACTCAATAAACAGAATATTTTTTGCCATGAGAATGTATTATTTGGGAATTCAGATTGCCACTTTCTACAGGAGTTGGGTTCCTTAACATGTGCTTGCATTAAAGTATTATAGAAAAATTTACATATATCTCTGGTTTTCACTTCCATTCTCTTTTTACCATTAAATATGTGAGGGGTAAGGGTGTTAAGATCTATTGTTTGACATGGAATTGGGCCTATATGATTTCTTATTATTCTCTTCCAAGAAAGGGGTATCGCATGGAATATTGTAATATATTGAATAATACCTTTAGGACTTAGATTAAGCTGGGAGTAGTGATTTAGGGACAGGAACTTGCCAGATGGGAAAAGGTCTTTTATAAATATTTTGTCTTGTTTAATCCAGGAAGGAGAAAAATAGTGTTTCCTTGTGACCTTATATGTTTATTACACCAAATAATTTCTTGCATTATATCTTTTATGTTAGAGGGTGTGTTATTACCACCTCCTCCTGCATGGTGGAAGGATAATATAACTTTTTTGTAGAATTTAGGTAGTTTGCTCATGTTAGGACCATCTTTCTCACAAGAGAAATTCATGTGTAACAACAGATTGTCAGGATCAAAGGAGTTTATGAAAGTAAGCGGTGAAACTTTCCATCTGGCATTGTTTTCTACCCCCAGTCTTTTTACCCAGGATGCAAGGATGGAATGTTTCTGGTATTCTAAATTTGTGAGGCCTAGTCCTCC